CTCCCCCTAGACATGGAACCAGGCCACACAATCCACATCGACCTCTCCCCCTAGACATGGAACCAGGCCACACAATCCACATCGACCTCTCCCCCTAGACATGGAACCAGGCCACACAATCCACATCGACCTCTCCCCCTAGACATGGAACCAGGCCACACAATCCACATCGACCTCTCCCCCTAGACATGGAACCAAGCCACACAATCCACATCGACCTCTCCCCCTAGACATGGAACCAGACCACACAATCCACATCGAGCTCTCCCCCTAGACATGGAACCAGGCCACACAATCCACGTTGGCCAATGTCTTTTATCGGTACGACTTGCTGCGTGTTCTTGGAGGTGAATGTGGACTTCTTCTGATTCCTCTTTACTTTCAGTTTCTGTGGATTCGGAGCCAATGGAGACTGAGGACGGAGCTTATTTTGACCTGCCAGGGCCATCGTGGGCTTCACCCCAAGGGTCTAGAGGTAAGTAGGAGTCTGCTTCTATGTCCTCGCTGTAAAGTCACCACAGCACTTGTAGTTTCAAATTTGCTGTCCCCTCTTCCTGCCATTTTGATATTTGCATAACTCCTCCCACTGCTTGCATCTGGGCTATGGGCCCTTGAGTGGAGTACAGAGGCGGGGTGCTGTGATGATGTTTTCAGGAAGCTATGTACATATCCTCCCACTATCCATGGTTTGCCTGCATTGCAAAGAGAAGCACAGAGACCCAGTAATGACATGACCATGGTGGTCTCACTCCAGGCCGGGTCAGAAGGGTCTGCATGGGAGCAGAAATCGGTTCTGTAATCTGCGGCCTTCCCTGATCTGCAGAACACAAACCAGTTCCGGGTCATTCAGTGCCCAGAGCGACGATGCCAATGTGCGCCCCCACCTCCCGGCATCTATCGGGGGGGGGGGGGGTTGGTTGGGAGAGTAGGATGTAGTATTCTTCCATCCCGCAGTGACATAGAATGTAATGGGGCCGGGGTGCGGGGTCGTAAACTGGGCCCTCCCTCTGCGCTGCAGGATACGGTGGGTGTGGTCTTCTTTTGTGCTGGATATAGGCTGCGGGTTTTGGGGGCCGGTGGTGAGTGGGGCCGCAGTTTGGGGGCCGGCGGTGAGTGGGGCTGGATTTTGGGGGCCGGTGGTGAGCGGGGGCCGCAGTTTGGGGGCCGGTGGTGAGTGGAGCCGAAGTTTGGGGGCCGGTGGTGAGTGGGGCCGCAGTTTGGGGTCGGTGGTGCGTGGGGCCGGAGTTTGGGGTCCGGTGGAGAGTAGGGCCGGAGTTTGGGGTCCGGTGGAGAGTGGGGGCCGGAGTTTGGGGTCCGGTGGTGATTTGATCCGGAGTTTGGGGGCCGGTGGTGATTTGAGCCGGAGTTTGGGGGCCGGTGGTGATTTGAGCAGGAGTTTGGGGGCCGGTGGTGATTTGAGCTGGAGTTTGGGGGCCGGTGGTGATTTGAGCCGGAGTTTGGGGGCCGGTGGTGAGTGGGGCCGCAGTTTGGGGGCCGGTGGTGAGTGGGGCCGCAGTTTGGGGGCCGGTGGTGAGTGGGACCGGAGTTTGGGAGCCAGTGGTGAGTGGAGCCGGGGTTTGGGGGCCGGTGGTGATTGGAGCTGGAGTTTAGGGGCCGGTGGTGAGTGGGGCCGCAGTTTGGGGGCCGGTGGGTGAGTGGGGCCGCAGTTTGAGGGCCGGTGGTGAGTGGGGCCGCAGTTTGGGGGCCGGTGGTGAGTGGAGCCAGAGTTTGGGGGCCAGTGGTGAGTGGGGCCGGAGTTTAGGGGCCAGTGGTGAGTGGGGACGGAGTTTTGGGGCGCACCAGTGCACAAAGCAAGGTCCATAAAGACATGGAGGAGCCAGTTTGGGGTGGAGGAACTTGACTGTCCTGCACAGAGTCCTGACCTCAACCCCATAGAACACCTTTGGGATGAATTAGAGCGGAGACTGCGAGCCAGGCCTCCTCCCCCGACATCAGTGCCCCTCCCCCGACATCAGTGCCTCCTCCCCCGACATCAGTGCCTGACCTGACAAATGTGCTTCTGGAAGATGGTCCAACCTTCCCATAGACACCCTCCTAAACCTTGTGGACGGCCTTCCCAGAAGAGTTGAAGCTGTTATAGCTGCAAAGGGCGGGGCCAACTCAATATTGAACCCTACGGACTAAGACTGGGGGGGGGGGTCATTAAAGGTCATGTGTGGGGAAAGGGCGGGGCCAACTCAATATTGAACCCTACGGACTAAGACTGGGGGGTCATTAAAGGTCACGTGCGTGGGAAGGGCGGGGCCAACTCAATATTGAACCCTACGGACTAAGACTGGGAGGCCATTACAGGTCATGTGTGTGGAAAGGGCGGGGCCAACTCAATACTGAACCCTATGGACTAAGACTGGGGGGCCATTAAAGGTCATGTGTGTGGAAAGGGCGGGGCCAACTCAATATTGAACCCTATGGACTAAGACTGGGGTGCCATTAAAGGTCGTGTGTGCAAAGGCCAGCGGCCCAATACTTGGGGCAATATGGTGGACATCGTATTCTGTCACTGATACCTTCTCTGTAGAGGAGGAGTCTGTACCAACAATGGGGATGGCCTGGATCAGGGCTTCATCTAGTTTAGTGAGTGGCAGCGTTAGTGTGTCCTCTCATGGAAATGGGAGAAGTCCTGAAAGTCGCACATTGCTGCAAAACCCCCATAAGGTGTAGGACAGCCTCATTCTGCATTCCAACCAGGCCACGCCCCCAATGTGTTTCAGTCCTCCCACGGAGCTAAGTCATAGGGATCCCCTTCCTTTTCTTTTCTTTTTTTTAGCGGAGCTGATCGGACTGCAGGTAGGTGGGTGTAAACGCGGACACAAGCTCCATACGGGTGAATGGCGGAGGGGTCTGGTCAGGCATACCTGAAATACCTGAGAGGTGGACCTGATGAATAAAATCAGGAGATTTCCAATAACCTTTCCCACCAAATGAAAGCCCGATCTGTCCTGAACAAAGCGTGGTACAATCCACCCGGGACCCGAATAGTTGGGACGAGACGGGCAGTTGGACCAACACGGGACGATACGGGCAGTTGGACCAACACGGGACGATACGGGCAGTTGGACCAACACGGGACGATACGGGCAGTTGGACCAACACGGGACGATACGGGCAGTTGGACCAACACGGGACGATACGGGCAGTGGACCAACACGGGACGATACGGGCAGTTGGACCAACACGGAACGATACGGGCAGTTGGACCAACACGGAACGATACGGGCAGTTGGACCAACACGGAACGATACGGGCAGTTGGACCAACACGGAACGATACGGGCAGTTGGACCAACGCGGAACGATACGGGCAGTTGGACCAACGCGGAACGATACGGGCAGTTGGACCAACACGGGACGATACGGGCAGTTGGACCAACACGGGACGATACGGGCAGTTGGACCAACACGGGACGATACGGGCAGTTGGACCAACACGGGACGATACGGGCAGTTGGACCAACACGGGACGATACGGGCAGTTGGACCAACACGTGTCAAAGCTGCATGATTGGCTTGGGGCATTTATGGTTTGTTTTGACCTCAGTCATGAAGGGGTTAAGTTGTGTTTTTTTTTTTTGTTTTTTTTTTTTCTCCTAGGCCCGACCTTCCCCCCACAGCCAGAATCTGAGGATGAGATGTCATCAGAGGAAGAGCCATTGGACCTTTCCTGCTCTGCCCTAGCCCCCCCTAGTCCCCTACCATGGTCTGGAGAGTCTAGAGGTAGGTAGACCTCTCTCACCTTGTCTGGGATGTACACCACCTCGACACTTCTGAATCTGCTCCTTCCTCTCACTAGGTTCACCAGCCTGGGAGTTCAGGACCGATGGAAGCTGGATCAGGGTGGAGAGCCGGGGGGATGGGGGATGCATTAGAGACTCGTTTTAGAAAAGAAATTCAAATCTGAATGTTTGTTGTATCAATAATTCGGGTTTTTCTTTTCTTTCTTGAAGACCCGACTCTCACCCTACAGATGGAGTCTGAGAGCGAGGATGAGACTTCATCGATGGAAGAGCCGTTGGACTTTTCCTGCTCGGCCCCAGCCCCCCTCAGTCCCCTGCCGTGGTCTGGAGGGTCTACAGGTACGTAGAGATCTCTCACCTTGTCTGTGATGTACGCCATCTCGGCACTTCTGTGTAGTTATCACGTACCTGGTGATGGAGGCCAATGGAGAGAGAGGGCTTCCCTTGCGGCTAAGTTCCGGACTCCCCTGAGAGTGGGACAGCGGGAGTCAGGCCCAAAGTGGCGCAGGTGGCCTGTAGGAGTGCTGGTTGGTGGTCCACTCAGAAGCACAGCTGATATATGGAGATAGGTCTGCAGACAGGAGGCCCCTGTGCGTGGTATGCAAGTCCTTCCGGGATTTAGATGTTTACTGAGTAGTCGGTTCAAGCCAAGGTCAGGTACCAGGTGGGAATCAGAGCAGGATGTAGTCAGATGGGATAGCCGAGGTCATACACAGAGGAGAGAGAGTATCCGTAACCCAGGCTGAGGTCCGATCAGGGGTAAGGCAGAGTAGACAGGTCCAGGGGCAAGCTGAGTGGGTAACAGGAAATCACAGATCAGAATCACAGGAAATAGGAACCAGGAACAGGGCACGGGGAGCTAGAGATCATCCAGCAACTAGAGGAAGTGATGAGCCTCCTTATAAAGGCCGTCTGGCACCAGACTGAGGCTGATGTGTACTTCTGCGGCCATGTAGAATACTGGCAGAAATGCCAGATCTTCTAGAACTCCTGCTGTGGACAGGACCCTGACAGTAGCTCTGAATCTTCTCCTTCCTTCCTTCCTCTCGCTGGGTTCACCTGCCTGGGAGTTCAGGACCGATGAATGCTGGTTCAGGGTGGAGAGCCGGGGGGATGGGAAATGCATTAGAGACTCGTTTTAGAACAGAAATTCAAATCTGAATATTTGTTGTATCAATAATTCTGGTTTTTGTTTTCTTTCTTGAAGACCCGACTTTCACCCTACAGATGGAGTCTGAGAGCGAGGATGAGACTTCATCGATGGAAGAGCCGTTGGACCTTTCCTGCTCTGCCCAAGCCCCCCTCAGTCCCCATGCGTGGTCTGGAGGGTCTAGAGGTACGTAGGCATCTCTCACCTTGTCTGGGATGTACGCCATCTCGGCACTTCTGAATCTTCTCCTTCCTTCCTCTTGCTGGGTTTCACCCTGCCTGGGGGTTCAGGACCAAGTTCAGGGTGGAGAGTTGGGGGGGGGGATGCATTAGAGACTCATGTTAGAACAGAAATTCAAATCCGAATGTTTGTTCCATCAATAATTCAGGTTTTTCATTTTCTTTCTTGAAGACCCGACCTTCACCTTACAGATGGAGTCTGAGAGTGAGGATGAGACTTCATCGATGGAAGAGCCATTGGACCTTTCCTGCTGTGCCTCAGCCCCCCTCCCCTACAGTCCACAACCTTTATATCCTCCGCTGTGCTCCCCACCCCTGTACATGGATGTGCCCACAGGAGCACATTCCCCGGGGCCAGTCATGGAGGACCACCCCCCTTCTGCCCCTGGCAGCACCCCTCCTCCAGAACTGAACAGTGACCAGCTGTGGCTGCTCTTCGAGGTACAAAGGCAGCAGCTGCTTCTGCAGAGGAGGTCACAGCGGGCCCAGGTCCTGCAGGTGCAGCAACAGAGGCGGCACTTCCTGGCCATGCAGCGAGGGCAGCAACGCATTGAGCGCCACTTGCTCTCCATAAGCCGAAAGCTGGAGGATATCCATCGTGTGCTCCGCCCATGTGTAAAGGGCAAGCGTCCTCGGCAGAAAGGCCCCCGCGAGCAGCCCAGAAAGCAAGGGCACGGGGTAGGAGAAGCTGTCCACAGCAAACAAGGGGAGGGGGCATCTACGTGAAGAAAAGGAAGGGTGTCTACAAGAAGAAAAGGAAGGGGGCGTCTACGTGAAGCAAAGGAACAGGACTCCTTGTAAGGGGCCTTCTACATGAAGCAAATAAAGGGGGAACCTTGTAAGGGCCCCTCCAGGATATGTCTGTACAAAGTTCTTGTTTTGCTCGTAAATTCTTTCCATCTTCTCTCCTGATGAAGACGAAACGCGTAGAAGGTGACTAAGCAGATCATCACATGACTCCCCGTGCTCACACCAAGACAAGCCTGGAGATTGTGGTCTGCTGAGCAGAGAGAGTCGGGTTGGAAGTGATACGAGATGTGGGGCCTCAGTCATGAGATGTGGGGCCTCAGTCATGAGATGTGGGGCCTCAGTCTCCAGATGTGGGGCCTCAGTCTCGAGATGTGGGCCTCAGTCTTGAAACCATTTTTAGAAGTGGTCATGCTTCTTTTTTTTTTTTTAGATCGGAAAGATTTGACGAGACTCTTCCATGCTTTGGAGAATCTGATGTTTCAGATTATAATTTGCGTAACGAGGCCTTTCATAATCGAAGCTCCGCCTTATCTGGTCGACGCGCCTTTTCTGACGAGGTGGCCATGGAGATTCACAAAGCGGACCAATCGCGGTGCTAGAGGTGGAGATTGGAAACGTTCATGGAGGTTTATTCCACAGAACGATCACAGGACACCATTTTGGTGGAGACCTCTCCTTTGGTCTTTGAATATTTTGGAGGACCTTCGAGTCTTTTGATGTATATTTTGCACTTTTCTATAATTGCGCACTTATTGTTTTTGTATCGAGCGCTGCTTTTATATGGATATTGGCTGAAGATAATATCCTCTGTAGCTTTACTGGGCTAACTTACAGTAATGAAGGATGTCCCAGGTTGTGCAGGCAGCCGGATCCTGGAGAAATCACTGCAGGGATGCCCCGTCCTCTTCCTGGCTCTGAACTTCAGGTGGTTCAGGGGTTAATGGCTTTGGGGGGCGTCTATGAAAAAAGTTCCCAAGGAGCACTCGCTCCTCCTCCCTCCATTGCCTGTACCACAGTTGCAGAAGATCCAAAGCTGTTAACCCCCGCAGTGTCAGACGTTCAGAGCCAGGAAGAGGACGGGGCATCTCTGCGCAGATGATTTCTCCAGGGTCTGGCTGCCAACATGGGACTTCCTTCACTACAGGTAAGATGGATCACTTTAGCTATGGACAATGTGGTTTTTATACATACTGGATGTTAATAGATTGTAATATGTTTCTTGTACTGTAAATTGTTCACATTTTGTACATTTCATTTTTTTTTATTTATGTTATGTGATGTAAAGAACACGTTGGGCCGTCAGGGAAAGGCTCCTCCTAGTTTTAGGCTGTGAGGGAAAGGCTCCTCCTAGTTTTAGGCTGTGAGGGAAAGGCTCCTCCTAGTTTTAGGCTGTGAGGGAAAGGCTCCTCCTAGTTTTAGGTTCAGTACAATTTTAAATTCTTAATCAAACGAGTTTCTGTGTTTTACTTTCTTCACATTTTTATTGTACGTGACTTGATAGAACAATATTTTGGTCGGCTTACTTGGTAAAGGAGGCCTGAAATGTGGCCCCTGACATCACAAAGGGCCACGCATAATATTTGGTTATCAGAACGCTAGCAGAGGCTGGGCATGTTATAGGAGTTGCTGGAGACTGGAGACATGGTGTGGGAGTTGCTGGAGACTGGGGACATGTTATGAGATATTGAAGACATGATGTAGGAGTTGGTGGAGACTGAGGACGCGGTGTGGGAGTTGGTGGAGACTGGGGACGCGCGGTGTGGGAGTTGGTGGAGACTGGGGACGCGGTGTGGGAGTTGGTGGAGACTGGGGACGCGGCGTGGGAGTTGGTGGAGACTGGGGACGCGGCGTGGGAGTTGGTGGAGACTGGGGACGCGGCGTGGGAGTTGGTGGAGACTGGGGACGCGGCGTGGGAGTTGGTGGAGACTGGGGACGCGGCGTGGGAGTTGGTGGAGACTGGGGACATGGTGTAGGAGTTCCTGGAGACATGGTGTGGGGAGAGTTGCTGGAGACTGGGGACATGCTATGCTTGCTAGTTGGTGGAGACTGGGGAAATGGTGTGGGAGTTGGTGGAGACTGGGGACATGATGTGGGAGTTGGTGGAGACTGGAGACGCGGCGTAGGAGTTGGTGGAGACTGGGGACACGGCGTAGGAGTTGGTGGAGACTGGGGACATGGCATATGAACTGGTGGAGACTGGGGACATGGTGTAGGAGTTCCTGGAGACATGGTGTGGGAGTTGCTGGAGACTGGGGACATGCTATGACATATTGAAGAAATGGTGTGTAGGAGTTGGTGGAGACTGAGGACGCGGTGTGGGAGTTGGTGGAGACTGGGGACGCGGCGTGGGAGTTGGTGGAGAGACTGGGGACGCGGCGTGGGAGTTGGTGGAGACTGGGGACGTGGCGTGGGAGTTGCTGGAGACTGGGGACGCGGCGTGGGAGTTTCTGGAGACTGGGGACGCGGCGTAGCAGTTGGTGGAGACTGGGGACACGGTGTATGAACTGGTGGAGACTGGGGACACGGCGTATGAACTGGTGGAGACTGGGGACACGGCGTATGAACTGGTGGAGACTGGGGAAATGGTGTGGGAGTTGGTGGAGACTGGGGACATGGCGTATGAACTGGTGGAGACTGGGGACATGGTGTGGGAGTTGCTGGAGACTGGGGAAATGGTGTGGGAGTTGGTGGAGACTGGGGACATGGCGTATGAACTGGTGGAGACTGGGGACATGGTGTAGGAGTTCCTGGAGACATGGTGTGGGAGTTGCTGGAGACTGGGGACATGCTATGCTAGTTGCTGGAGATGGGAAATGGTGTGGGAGTTGGTGGAGACTGGGGACATGGCGTATGAACTGGTGGAGACTGGGGACATGGTGTGGGAGTTGCTGGAGACTGGGGAAATGGTGTGGGAGTTGGTGGAGACTTGGGACATGGCGTATGAACTGGAGGAGACTGGGGACATGGTGTAGGAGTTGCTGGAGACTGGGGACACGGCGTGGGAGTTGCTGGAGACTGGGGACATGTTATGAGATATTGAAGACATTGTGTAGGAGTTGGTGGAGACTGAGGACATGCTATGAGATATTGAAGACATGATGTAGGAGTTGGTGGAGACTGAGGACGTGGTGTGGGAGTTGGTGGAGACTGGGGACATCTTGTTATAGGAGATGTTGGGGACATGGTGAAGGAGTTGGTGGAGAATGGGGACATGATGTGGGAGTTGCTGGAGACTGGGGACATGCTATGCTAGTTGCTGGAGATAGGAAATGGTGTGGGAGTTGCTGGAGACTGGGGACACGGTGTGGGAGTTGCTGGAGACTGGAGACACGGTATATAGGAGTTGGTGGAGACTGGGGACACGGTATGGGAGTTGGTGGAGACTGGGGACATGGTGTAAGAGTTCCTGGAGACATGGTGTGGGAGTTGCTGGAGAGACTGGGGACATGCTATGCTAGTTGGTGGAGACTGGGGAAATGGTGTGGGAGTTGGTGGAGACTGGGGACATGATGTGGGAGTTGGTGGAGACTGGAGACGTGGCGTAGGAGTTGGTGGAGACTGGGGACACGGCGTAGGAGTTGGTGGAGACTGGGGACATGGCATATGAACTGGTGGAGACTGGGGACATGGTGTAGGAGTTCCTGGCGACATGGTGTAAGAGTTGCTGGAGACTGGGGACATGCTATGACATATTGAAGACATGGTGTAGGAGTTGGTGGAGACTGGGGACGCGGTGTGGGAGTTGGTGGAGACTGGGGACGCGGCGTGGGAGTTGGTGGAGACTGGGGACGCGGCGTGGGAGTTGCTGGAGACTGGGGACGCGGCGTGGGAGTTTCTGGAGACTGGGGACGCGGCGTAGCAGTTGGTGGAGACTGGGGGGACACGGCGGTATGAACTGGTGGAGACTGGGGACACGGCGTATGAACTGGTGGAGACTGGGGACATGGTGTGGGAGTTGCTGGAGACTGGGGAAATGGTGTGGGAGTTGGTGCAGACTGGGGACATGGCGTATGAACTGGTGGAGACTGGGGACATGGTGTAGGAGTTCCTGGAGACATGGTGTGGGAGTTGCTGGAGACTGGGGGACATGCTATGCTAGTTGCTGGAGATGGGAAATGGTGTGGGAGTTGCTTGAGACTGGGGACATGGTGTGGGAGTTGCTGGAGACTGGGGAAATGGTGTGGGAGTTGGTGGAGACTTGGGACATGGCGTATGAACTGGAGGAGACTGGGGACATGGTGTAGGAGTTGCTGGAGACTGGGGACACGGCGTGGGAGTTGCTGGAGACTGGGGACATGTTATGAGATATTGAAGACATTGTGTAGGAGTTGGTGGAGACTGAGGACATGCTATGAGAGATATTGAAGACATGATGTAGGAGTTGGTGGAGACTGAGGACACGGTGTAGGAGTTGGTGGAGACTGAGGACGCGGTGTGGGAGTTGGTGGAGACTGGGGACATCTTGTTATAGGAGATGTTGGGGGCATGGTGAAGGAGTTGGTGGAGAATGGGGACATGATGTGGAGTTGCTGGAGACTGGGGACATGCTATGCTAGTTGCTGGAGATGGGGAAATGGGTGTGGGAGTTGCTGGAGACTGGGGACACGGTATGGGAGTTGGTGGAGACTGGGGACGCGGTGTGTGGGAGTTGGTGGAGACTGG